TTCTCGTCTTGTTTTAAGCAGATTTTTATTGTTCAGTTCAAGTTTGATTTTCTGATTTAAGAAAAAAGTGTAGATTGTTTGGACAAAAGCGTCACTGCAACTGACTCAAGAGACTAATCAGTAAGAAATAACTAATAAAGATTGCAAAAACAACTGCAAATTTGACTTGACTTGAAATTAGAATGCTCATTTTGATAGTTTAGTTTGATTTAAGAATAAAGAGTAGACCGTTAAGACAAAAGCGTGACTGCAACTGACTCAAGAGACCAAACTAGAGGGACTAACTGACAAATAACTGACAAAAACAACAAAAACACCACTAATTTGACGTGATAAAATAACTTGAAACTAGAATTCTCATCTTGTTTGAAGCAGATTTTTATTGTTCAGTTAAATAAGTAAAAAAAAAATTGGACAAAAGCGTGACTGCAACTGACTCAAGACACCAAAGCAAGAGCGCGACTCAAATAATTAATAAAGAGTACAAAAATACTGCAAATTTGACTTTATAAAATAACTTGAAACTAGAATTCTTATCTTGTTTGAAGCAGATTTTTATTGTTCAGTTCGAGTTTGATTTAAGAATAAAGAGTAGATTGTTTGGACAAAAGCGTCACTGCAACTGACTCAAGACACTGACAAATAACTGACAAAAACAACAAAAATCTACAAATTTAACCAGAAAAAAACTTGAAATTAGAATGCTCATCTTGTTTTCACAGATAGTTTAGTTTGATTTAAGAATAAAGAGTAGACTTTTGGACAAAAGTGTCACTGCGAACTGACTCAAGACTAAAGCAGAGACTAACTGACAAACAACTGACAAAGCCTATAAAAATACTACAAATTTGACTTTATAAAATAACTTGAAAACTAGAATTCTTATCTTGCTTTTAAGCAGAGTTTTAATGTTCAGTTCAAATTTGATGTAAGAAAAAAAGAGTAGATTGTTTGGACAAAAGCGTCACTGCAACTGACTCGAAACCAAACAACTCATAAACACTGCAAAAATACTACAAATTTGACATGATAAAATAACTTGTTATTAGAATTCTCATCTTGTTTTGGCAGATAGTTTAGTTTGATTTAACAATAAAGAGTAGACCGTTTGGACAAAAGCGTCACTGCAACTGACCAAAGAGACCAAAGCAGGAGGACGACTCAAATAACTGACAAAGACTAGAAACATACTACAAATTTGATGTGATAAAACAACTTGAAACAGGAATTCTCATCTTGTTTTGAGCAGATTTTTATTGTTCAGTCCAAGTTTTATTTAAGAATAAAGAGTAGATTGTTTGGACCGTGACTGCAACTGACCAAAGAGACCAAAGCAGGAGGACGACTCAAATAACAAATAAAGACCAAAAAATGACAAATGACATGATCAAATAACTTGAAAGTAGAATGCTCATCTTGTTTTGGCCGATAATTCAGTCTGATTTAAGAATAAAGAGTAGACCGATTGGACAAAAGCGTTACTGCAACTGACTCAAGAGACCAAAGGTGAGGGACTAACTGACAAAAACTACAAAAATACTACAAATGTGACGTGACAAAATGACTTGAAACTAGAATTCTCATCTTGTTTAAGCAGATTCTTATTGTTCAGTTCAAGTTTGATTTTTTTATTTAAGAAAAAAGAGTAAATCCATTTGGACAAAAGCGTTACTGCAACTGACTCAAGAGACCAAAGGAGGGGGACGAAGTGACAAATAACTGACAAAGACTGCAAAATACTACAAATCTGAGATGAAAAAATAACTTTAAATTTGAATTTTCATCTTGTTTAAGCAGATTTTTATTGTTCAGTTCAAGTTCGATCTAAGAAAAAAGAGTAGATTGGACAAAAGCGTCACTGCAACTGACTCAAGAGACCAAAGCAGAAGAACTACTCAAACAACTGACAAACACTGCAAAAATACTACAGATCTGACATGATAAAATAACTTGAAATTAGAATTCTCATTTTGTTTCAAGCATTTTTTTTCAGTATTCTTAGTCCATTGTCAGATAGTTTAGTTTGATTTATGAATAAAGAGTAAACTGTTTCCACAAAAGCGTCACTGCAACTGACTCCAGAGACCAGAGCAGGAGAACTACTCAAATAACTGACAAATACTACAAAAATACTACAAATCTGACATAAAAATAACTTGAATTTAGGAAGATAGATAGTTTAGTTTGATTTAAGATTTAATAAAGAATAGATCATTTGGACAAAAAAGACCAAAGGCGCGGGGCTACTCCAATTATTCATAAAAACTGCAAAAATACTACACATTTTGAGGTAAAAATAACTTGAAATTTGAATGCTCGTCTTGATTTAAGCATGTTTTTGTAGATCATTTGTGCAAAAGCGTGCATGGTACTGACTCAAGAGACTAAAATAACTAATAAAAACTACAAAAATACTACAAATTTGACACAATAAAATAACTTGAAATTAGAATTCTCACAGCACTACAAAAACACTAGACATTTGACAAGAAAGAATTAACTTGAAATCCAAATGCTCATCTTGTTTTAATGCTTTTTTTGTTCAATTTAGGTTCAAGTTCAAGATTCTTAGATGATTTAAGAAAATAATAGATGTTTTGGACAAAAGTGTCACTGCAACTGACACAGAACCACACAAATATTGAATCAACACTTCAAAATTCTCACTTCATCGACACGTCTACACAGTTCAGAAGAATTCAGAAAGTTTATCTCTATTTTTACACTTTACAGTTTCAGTTTGAATCTACAGGCCTTTTTCAAATAATCTAAATAATCTAAAAAAGTGAGTAAAATAAACTTAATAGTAATAAGTTATAGCGACGAAAGAAATCTGCGTTCAGAATACTCAAAAAAATTGTATATTCAAGTTAACACAACATTTTGAAGTAAAAAAAAAAAAAATTAAATCCTCGCAGCTGTTCCAAAACTAATGTAATTCTAATTTTCATCTTAATCCTGTACAATAAAACAAAAGAGGAGTGAATTGCAGGCTGCTCTGAGTTTTCACTGCTCTCCACAAATCATAAACCTGACTGAGGCACTGTTCAGATGAGCTGTAAAACTCCAGAATTCATGTCGAGTTCATATTTTGCAGTTAAAAAGTATATATATGAATGATGTCAGTTGTTCCAGGACTAATTTAATTCCAATTCTGATTCTCGGTCGTGTATAAAAAAAAGACAAAACAGGGGTGTGAATTGGAGGCTGCCCTGAGTTTTCACGGGTCACTGAGAATTATAAACCTGACTGAGCTACTGTTCAGATGAGCTGGAGGCTTTTATTTACTGCCAGTCTTCAATTTGAGAAACAACAGGCGAATTTGGAGCGTAAACACGTTTGAAAAGTGTAATGGTGCACACTATGGAAATATAAATATTTTTATGAGAAGCAGATATGTTCCACAAGGGTTCTATTAAGCGTAGCTGAAGCCTGCATGTGCGTTTTAAACACTGGGGTTAACTCTGAAAGGCAGCTCTTAAAACGGGATTTGTAGAGAAGTGATCCAGCTTAGGTTTGGAGGAGAGGTATAATTTATTAAAACAAGGCATCTTTTATTTTGTGGTTGTGTTTTTTTTTCTGAGGATGGTGCAAAAAATAACAAAATCTTGGCTGAAAAAAGACGATTCCAACTCACTGAAAATTCTTAATATGAGGTTCATCTTTTACTGGACAGTTTCAAAACTGAACAAGACTATTTTATGTCTAAGATGCAAAAATATTTACATCTATAAGTGGACTGGACAAGACTATTCCAACTCAGTGAAAAATTCCCAGTTTCTTATAACATAATATCGAAAAATGACTGGACATTTTCCAAACTGAAGCAGATTATTCCACGTTTATGATCCTAGAAATAACAAAATCTTAAACTGGACCATTTTAAGACTAAAGGAAGACTATTCAAACTCAGAAAAAAAAATCTTGTGCACTCAAAATTCTGATAATATGATGTTAAAAAATGACAAAATCTTGAACTGGACCATTTTAAGATTGAAAAAGTCTATTCCAGATCACAGAAAAATTTCCAGCGCTCTACATTTTCTGATAATATGACTTCAAAAAGGACAAAACCTTAAACTGGACAATTTTAAGACTAAAAAAATGATGCAAAAAATGAGCAGGACCAGGAGACTTTTCCAACTCATTGACAAATTTCCAACTCACTCCATATTCTGATAATACAAAGTCAACAAAGACAACATCTTTAACTGGATTATTTCAAAACTGAAGAAGATACTGCACATTCTGGTTTAAAAAAAAAACGAACTGGATCATGTTAAGACTGAAGGAGACCATTCCAGCTCCTAGAAAAATGTCCAAGGCACAAAATGTGTAACTGGACAATTTTAAGACGACAAAAAAATCCAATGCACTTAATATTCTGATGCCAAAAAATGCTCTGGCCCGTTTTAAGAGTGAAGGAGACCGGTCCACATTATTGATAGATTTCTATAGAGACACCCAGCCCTGACTCTGGGGACCAAACAGTCTTGTAATCCAACATCTTGTTCCAATGCAGTACTGTAAACTCCCCATGTGCAGCCTGTTTACTTTTGTCAAAAATATCACCGGGTACTTTTGTTTTTCGTTCCGCAAAGGACGGCACAGCTTTGGAAATGTAAGGGTATATTGCACAAACATGTCATCTCCGAGCTTCAGAAATATTTATAAACATCACATTGAGTAAATACTGGAATCTCTAAATGCAGTGAGCCTGTTTTTTTCTCCGCTCTTCGTATCTGTCAACCGCGAATGCCTTGATGATTGTTGGGGTTTGAATCCACCGCAAAAGTTTGGATGTTGATAGCTGCGCCCTCACTGACCTTGCGGACCATCGCATCTTCTCCACTTATCCCAAATCTCGCTGTCAGACCGAAAATTGAGGATCTGCGCGGATTTGTCCCCGGTCCAAGCCTCATCGCTTACGCCCTGGTCCTCCCCGGCGGTCCGAGCCCCCCTTGCCCCGTCACACAAGCATCCAGTGAAGACCTACTTACCCCAAAAGAAGTTCTGCTGGCATGGTGCTACGGTGCTGAAGAGGCTGTTGGATGCCATAGCTGCCTCTGGTCCCAGCAAGCCCCACTTTTGTTCTTCTGTGGTTTCCGTGACCCTTGACACGTCCTAAACCGAGAGCACGCACCATGTCATGAACGCACTTGGAAAAATATGGAAAAGCCATCCACAAGACATGCTATTTTACGTATCAACTATTCAGATGACCACAAGTAACGAGCAGGTCTGGTTTTATAGTGATGAGAAGAGGAGAAAAAAAAAAAAAAAAGCAGCAGAGGCAAATCTCGCCTTTGCGGACACATCAGATGGTGTCGGAGTTGGTTGCTTGGCGAATGTGGTTGGAACTTACTTACGGTCTCCGCGCCGTCCCTGTGACTCGATCTGGCCTGTAATATTTAACCATTTAGGCTCCAGGTCGCCCTCGTGCACCAGCCCGCGCCGCACGTCTGTGGTTCTGTGGTTGTTTGGGAGGCGAGTAGAGCCCTCACACAACCCAAAAGACACCAGCTTTAAAACTCGTCTCTTTCCTGCCCTCCATGCGCTGTCAATGGAGAGGTTGGGTCACATGGGCGCGTGACGTCATCGCCCAGCAGCGGCCAGTGTGGGACAGCCTACTACTGTTGTGGCTCCGTTCCCTCTCCCCTCTCCTCTCTCCTCTTCTCTTCTCCTCTGCTACTTTTTTTTTTTTCACTCCTCTGACTCGGCGGTGGAGCTGCGCGTGGCTTCCAGTTGTCGGTGCGCCGGGGTCTGACGCTCTCGTGAGTCAGGGTGCCCGCTCATACGCCTTCTGAACATATGGGCAACAGCGCCGAGCCACTTCAGCCTTCCCTTCGCCCTTTCATCCCCTCCCTTTCTCTCTCGTGTCTCTCCGTCCCTCCACTCCTCCGTCAGGCTGCTCGCGCTCCTGTGTGCCTGAGCGTGTGCCGGAGCGCTGGGTGTGAGAGGGGCTGGCTGCCTCCGCTCTGGGTGTGTTTATTTCAAATAGACGCTCAGAAGAATAGAGCTGTCAGCCAAGAGAAGGGGAGGACAGGTTAATGTGAACGTTGGTTAAAAGGTGCATTGTGTAACTTTTCAGGTCGGGTTCACTCCCATAGAGGTGGTTTTGCTTTGTAGTGCTCCACAATATGATATTAAACTTATAATAAAATGCGTTAATTCAATTATGGGTGTTTTTATTGCTCAAAAACACATTTAAAAACATGTATTTTCACCGTGAGAGGGTCGCAACTTCACAGATCTCGCCTGTAAATTGTCCTGGTGGCTTCTCCCACTTGTTTTTTTAATGGAGATTGAAAAGTTTAATGTCATACTTTTGAATACTGGAGATAAAACAATAACATCTCCAGATGATGCAAAAGATTTAACAAAAGACTATTTGGAGATGTTTTTGCTGTGAAATGTTCCACAAGTTAATAAGTTGCATTTATTCAATTATGGGTGTTTTTATTGCTCAAAACAACTTTAAAAATCTGTATTCTTACTGTGATGGGGTCGCCTCTTCACAGATCTTGCCTGTAAATTGTCCTGTTGGTATCTGCTGCATGTTTCTAAGGAGGCTTAAAAGTTTCAAAACAATTTCCAAACTGAAGCAGACTATTCTATTTCTATTCCATGTCTAAAAATAAGAAAAATCTTGAACTGGACAATTTTAAGACTCAAAAAGATTATTCGAACTCATTGAAAAATTCCCAGTGCACTCCAAATTCTGATATAATGATGTAAAAAAAAAAAGATAAAAATCTATAACTGGACCATTATAAGACTGATTAGGACTTTTCCAACTTCTTCTAAAATGAAAAAAGTGAAAAAAAGACACAATCTTTAACTGGACAATTTTAAGACAAAGGAACACTAAAAAATCTCAATGGACTTCATATTTCCATGCAAAAAAATACCTTATTGTTCAAAAATACCTTTAAAAACATGTTTTCTTACTGTGAGGGAGTCGCCTCTTCACAGATCTCACCTGTAAATTATCCTGGTGGTATCTCAAGCTTGTTTCTATTGAAAAGTTTAATGATATGCTTCGAAATACTACAATAACACCTCCAGATGATGCAAAAAATAACAAAATCTTGGCTGAAAAAAGACAGAAAAAGACATTTCTGACTCAGTGAAAATTCCCAACACACTTCATATACTGATAATATGATGTTCATGTTTAACAACAATTTCAAAACTGAAGCAGATTATTCCATGTCTATGATGCTAGAAATAATAAAATCTTAAACTGGACCATTTTAAAACCAAGTCTATTCCAACTCACTGAAAAATACCCATTGTACTCCATATTCTGATGTCTAACTGGACAATTTTAAGACTAAAGAAGACTAAAAAATCCCAATGGACTTCATGTTATCATGCAAAAAACACCTTATTGCTCAAAAACACCTTTAAAAACATGTATTCTCACTGTGAAGGGGTCGCCTCTTCACAGATCTCACCTGTAAATTGTCCTGGTGGTGTCTTCTGCTCATTTCCATGGGGACTGAAAAGTTTAATGGCATACTTCTGAATACTAGAGGGACAATAACATCTCCAGATGATGCAAAAAATAACACAATCTTGACTTAGAAAAGACAGAAAAGACGATTCCGACTCACTGAAAATTCCCAACACATACAATTTTCTGATAATCTGATGTTCATCTTTAAGTGGACAGTTTCAAAACTGAAGGAGACTATTTTATGTCTATGATGCAAAAATAATAAAATATCTATAAGTGGACAATTTTACGACTGAGAAGATTATTCCAACTCATTGAAAAAGTCCCAATGCACTCCATTTTCTTATAACACGATATCAAAAAATGACTGGACAATTTCCAAACTGTAGCAGATTATTCCATGTCTATGATCCTAGAAATAACAAAATCTTAAACTGGACCATTTTAAGACTGAAAAAGACTGAAAAATACCCAGTGCACTCCAAATTCTGATAACATGATGTAAAAAAAAATGTAAAATATTTAAATTGGACCATTATAACAATGAAAAATATACATATAAAATAATCCAATACAGACAGATAAATGTCTAATATGTGGCTCCACATCAGTATTTATCTGCGGAGTCATTTGTGTGTGTCTACTGTCCTGAACACACCACAGAGTCGCGTCACTCAATGTGTTTGTTTACACCTGCAGACACAGATCCAACACTGAGATTATATTCTTTTTACGGACAATCGGTTTGAGTCTGGATTAAAAGGACATTTATTAGTGCATTTGTGATGTGAGGAGGAGCTGTGTGAGCGGTGAGTGTTGGAAATATGTCGACTCTGAAGCTAGTTTTGTCATTTGTTATGGGTTAGCTGCTGTAGCTCCCGCACATAAACAGACTGTTTTCTATTGGTCTGTTCTAAAGTGACTATATTGGCCGTATATTTGCTACTGGACCTGCACTGATATGTAAATGAGCTGTGAAAGACGTGTGAATTATGACATTTGCATATAATTAATTACCGCGGCGCACACGTATTTACGGCTAAAGGCTAATAGCGCTACTTTCTTTACTAGTTATGGGTCCGTCGCGAACGAAATGGCTCTTAGAACCGCTCTTTTGAAGGGAACGACGGGAGCCTGATCCTTATTGGGAGCCGTGTTTTCTCTTTCTCTCACTTTTTTTCTCTTCACGCCGTTGCAGACTCGTGGTTTGACAGCGGCAGCGGCTAAAAACGAAACTTTGAGAATTTGCGTGTACGTAGGATTAAAAAAAAAAAAAAAAAAAAAAAAAAAAAAAAAAAACGAGCATATTTGACTGTAGTTTAGCATAAAAAAATAAGTCCCGGTTTAGTCCTTTTTAGTCCTTGGTTTAGACCTGGTTCAGTCCTGATTCAGTCCTGCTTTAGACGTGCTTTAGACCTGCTTGCAACAAAACAATCTGAAGAGCCACTTGGGAGCCAAAGAACCAGCAGCTTTTAGTGAGCCGAGCCAAAAGAGCCGGTTCTCTAAAAAGAACTGGAATACCCATCACTAGTGTCTAGAATGTGATGCAAAAATGCATTAAGCCAACCTACTGTCTGTAAATATGATGTAAAGAGGCAGAATAACAATAAATGTTGCCTAAATAAACCCAATTTAAAATCCACCAGAGCCAAACCTAAGTTTTTTAAAAACAATTCAACATTTACAGTGAATTTTTACATCACTAAATATATCGGCGATTATATCGGCTATCGGCAGCTCCAACTCCCATTATATCGGTTTCATATCGCCACAGCAAAATCCATATCGGTCGGGCTCTATTATAACAATGAAAAATATACCAACTATACCAACTCAGTGAAACGTTCTGATAATATGATTTCAAAAAGGACAAAATCTTAAACTGGACCATTTTAAAATTGAAAAAAAGACAAAAAAAATCCATATAAAAAATACCTTATTGCTCAAAAACAAAAATATGTATTGTTACTGAGAGTCGAGTCGCCTCTTCACAGATCTCGCCTGTAAATTGTCCTGGTGGTACCTCCTGCTGGTTTCTATGGAGACTGAAAAGTTTAATGCCATACTTTTGAGTACTGGAATACACGCATCAAGAATCTCGGACTTCCGGTCATTGCGCAATGCATACTGGGAAGGATTTTCTGAAAAAGTGAGCATCAAACCGCCATGTTTGTTTTCCCAGTGGGATGTGTCTATTGTCAAAGTCGATCTTTTCAAGTCTTTTGAACCATATCACTTTTGTTTTCTGGTTCTGATATTGTCATATTTTAGTTTTGGGATTTGGACATTGTTAATTTGTGGTTGTTGGGATCCTAACAGCGGAAAACGGCTCGAGAAATTGGTTTGCGAAGTCCATAAATGCAAAAGGGAATCAGATGTGTGTGACTGCAAACCTCTGTTCAAACTGTTTCCCTTCCCAACGAAATAGAAAAATAGTGAAAGGCGAAGGCGATGGGCAGGATTGATCCACGGGAAGGACCAAAAAGGAAACCTTTGACTGCCTAAATCATCCCGAGTTTGCAGCGAACATTTTATATAAGGAGCACCAACAAAGCAAAATCCCCGATCCCTCGCTCAGTCTTGGTTACGAATTTAAAAAGTCAACGCCAAAGCAAAAGGCACCAGCTGTTCACCAAGAAACACCTTCCACTGCAAAGAGACCAAGACGTGATGTTGCTGTAAAACCACAAGAACAAGAAAGTGCAGCTCAGTCTGTTTGTCTTCTGCACCTCTCGATTAACAAACGGGATCCCGCTTTGTTGGCGTCCACATCCAAAATGTTCGCTGCAAACTCGGGATGATTTAGGCAGTCAAAGGTTTCCTTTTTGGTCCTTCCCGTGGATCAATCCTGCCCATCGCTTTTGCCTTTCACTATTTTTCAATTTCGTTGGGAAGGGAAACAGTTTGAACAGAGGTTTGCAGTCACACACATCTGATTCCCTTTTGCATCTGTGGCGTTCGCAAACCAATTTTTCGAGCCGTTTTCTGCTGTTAGGATCCAACAACCACACAATTAACGATGTCCGAATCCCAAAACTAAAATATGACAATATCAGAACCAAAAACAAAAGTGATGGTTTAAAAGACTTGAAAAGATCGACTTTGTCAATAGACACGTCCCACTGGGAAAACAAACATGATGGTTTGATGCTCACTTTTTCGGAAAATCCTTCCCAGTATGAATTGTGCAATGACCGGAAGTCTGAGATTCTTGACGCGTGTATTAAAGCAATAACATCTCCATGGAGACAAGTATCTGGTAACCCTTTACGTCTACCAGAAAAGTGACACAGTGCATCTTTAAGAGTTGGAATCCGCCTGACTCTTCGCACGTGGAGCTGCTAGAGGCCGTCACCGCGTTACTGCAGTAAAAAGTACGTGTCCTGAGTAATCGTCTTTAAACGGCATCTCACAGAAGC